CTAACGGACCCCCTTCCCCCAAGTTTGGCCGGGACCCCCTGTCGTACTGTTTGAAGGAGATCAATAAGACAGTCAAACCCAGAATCTCTTCCTTCCGGACACTCAGGAGATCGGTGAGTCACCAGAGGAAAAGGTTTGGGTGCCAGGAGACGTTCACTCATCAGGGCTTACGCATCATCCTGTGGTCCTGAATAAGACTTTTAATGTTTTTAGTACTTAAACATGCAGCATAGCTCCTGGCTCACACTGGCTCTTTTGCTATTCTTAATGTGTATACAAGAACATGTTTTTAGGGTTGGAAAGCAAGAACCACTTTTAAGGATATTATTTCTTTTTCCCTCAGAAGTTTACCCCAGAGAGGATCATGGTAATATGGACAACAAAGCTGGTGTGGGGGTTTCAGTTGTGTGACACAAAATTGGCCACCTTTCCATTACAGCAGATCATCTCATTAAAATAATTTTACCTTAACATAACTCTAATGCTGGAGTTTCTGTGTTTAAACAAATTAACATCCAGGAATCGTGTAATGTGGCAAAAGGCTTTTCCTTTTGAGTCTGTATGTATTGAAGAGGTGGCCACCTGGTGGTGGAGCACGGGAGGGATGCTTGTTAGCTCGACAGGAAACAGAGCAATGCATAACCAATTTCAAAATAACCCATATTGTTTCTGCACATTCTCGGTCACCTTTTCCATCCAAGATATTATTTGTTGAACTTGTAGTAGATAAAGTAATTGCTGCATTGCATTTGTTGCTCCATGGGTGGTGGTTTTGGGTTCAGCTCACTGTTGTACATGTACATGATTTCAAGCCTAACAAAGAGACTAATGTTTTTTCAGTCAAACAATGTATCTTGAGCTGAACTCAACCACAGGTTTGGTTTTCCTCCTCGTTTACCATGGTTACAATGGCTTTGAAACGGTTCAGTGTGAGACCGAGTTCAGTTTTAACCCGCCCTTCCTGTGAACTCTTGTAGCCTACAGTGACGGAGGACTTCGCCCATCTTCCACCAGAGCAGCGCAGGAAGAGGTTACAACAGAAACTAGAGGAAATCTGCAAAGAGCTGCAAAAGGAAGTAGATCAGAGGTGTGTGTGTGTTTGTGTGTGTATATGCGAGTACCTTTCTTCGTATTAATAACATCAATGTTAGAAGTGGAAGTGTGGATATAATATCCTTGCAGTGCACATGAGTGTGTATAACTCTGTGGTGTCTGTGAGTGTTGGAATTGTTTACTCAGCCCTGAGCTCTGCAGGGAACCAATTTCTACTGAAAGTCACTTTCTCCCTTCCTCCCTTGTTCCTTTCTCACTCTCTCTCTCTCTCTCCTCTCTTCAGTGAGGCCCTGGGGAAGATGAAAGATGTTTATGAGAAAAATCCTCAAATGGGAGACCCTGCAAGTCTGGCATCCCAAATAAGCCAGACATCCCAAAATATAGAACGGCTCAGAGGGGAGCTCAACAAGTATGAGGTAATCCCGACCTCTGTTGTTTATGCATATTGTGAGGTCATAATTTAACATTATGAGGTGATCAAGGCCCTTAGTTGTTAATTCTAACATATTATATAGTAACTAGGATATTATTGTTCATTTAATATATTATGAGGAAATTTGATTCCTTGTTGTTCAGCATAGAATATATAGCCTCTTTAATTCAACAGTATGATGTAATCAGATCATCAGCTGTTAATTTGAACTAATGGTTAGGTAATTTAGGAGTACTAACCTAACATATTACATGCTACGTTTTTGTAATCACATTTATCTGTCAGGTGCCCAGGTTATTTTTGTGTTGGCTGGTTGGGAACCACTGTTGATGTGGGCTTGCAAAGCCCATTGAGGCATTGTGTGTGCCATTTGACTATACAAATGAACATGACATGATATATCTATTTCTTCTATTTCCCTCCCCCTCTCTTTGGCTCTCTTTTGTAGACTTGGCTAGCTGAGGCAGGAGGCCGAGGGGACACATTACGCTATAAATCTCACACATTTAACAACAACGGAGCTCATGATGTACACAGGTAACACTAAATTCTATTAATAGACAGTGTGTTTTTGGCACAATGAGGCGTTGTCTGAGAAGCCTGTGTTTCTCTCTCCAGCCCTGATGGAGCTCACTCTGATGAAAGCACTCCTGATCCCTCCCAGGCCATCTATGCTGAGTTTGATGATGACTTTGAGGATGAGGAACTAACTGCTCCTATTGGGAAATGCACAGCCATGTACAACTTCCCTGGTATGTCACAGGCTGTTTTAGCCTTACTCTGCATTCTTGAGGAGCATATGTGTATGATGTGGGGCGTAGCAACTGAACTCTGTAGGCTAGGTCATGTGAAGAATTGTCTTTGATCAGATGTCTCAGTAAAAGGAGATCAGTTTTTTCTAAACTTCAGCTATCCATGGCCTTCATATGAATTGTGAAGCATTTAATGTATTCTTAAGTTTTTGTCAACTGTGGTTGCACATATTTTTCAAAATTATAGCTTGCCTTCTAATCATACATGTCGTTTTTGGCAATATCATAACTGTGTAGGGAGAAAAACATTTCCCAAACCTGAATGAGGAGCGAGTTCACACCCAGAAAATCCTGAGTCAAAAACATTTTTTTGTGGTCTGACTCAATGAGGCTTGTGTAGTCTTGTAAATTAGCAAAGGGATATTTTCTATCATCTAGTTTTTTTTATTTTTTTCAGGTGCCAGTGAAGGAACCATCTCTATGCAGGAGGGGGAGGTGCTGGCCGTGGTAGAGGAGGACAAAGGGGATGGCTGGACCCGTGTCCGTCGGAACAATGGGGATGAGGGCTACATACCTACATCTTATGTCACCATCTCCCTAAACAAATGACTAACACGTGAGGAACCAGAGAACAATAAATTATCACTTCACCAAACTGTATGCAGTTCTTCCAACGGGACCAATCAAAAAGAAGCCACAACACTATGGGCGGGACCACTGGTGTATCTAGAAGGGGATCCAAAGAAGGTGCTTTGATTGCTTCAGAGAGGTGCCCCAAATGGGCAGAGGAATGGTGCTAACAGTATGTTCCTAATGGCTTCCATTACATTATTGTAATTCAAGTTACCTAAGCCACCTAACCACAAGGTTATTTTACTTTTTGAAATGTCACAATAATCTTTTGGTTTTGGTTTAAAAGTGTTGCATGGATTTAAGGCACCATCATGGTACGAGTGCTTGCCTCGTCCTGCAGCCTAATAAGGCATTACCTTCTGAATGTGAGAGGAAGAAGTAGAGGAGGAAGATGAGTGCTGCTGCCACCTTTTACACTGAGTGTTAATATCAGTAATACGTACGAGGAAGTTACCTCACCTGTTTACCTTTTTCAGTTAAAAACTGACCTGCTCTGACCCACGGCAGTCCACTCCACCACTGAACCTAAAATATATGGCCTGTTGCAGTTCTCATTTACTAGCACTTGCAATGATATATAGCACCGTCACTTTGCTTGGACTTGAGATCTTGAGAGTGTCCTCAGGGGATGAGTGAGGTTTGAGGGAGAATCCTTCACTTTTGGTTTTCGGCAATTTGTGAGACCAAAGGTGTGGACAGCTCTCTCGTCATGAAAAATCACATGCACACAACAGTACAAACACTTTAATGTTCAGACAATCACAGCCATATCATCATTTAAGTCGATTTTCAAACTTTAGCAATAACAAGGATAGCTGTTGTTTTTTTTAATAGTTACAACCTGAAAATTGTACTAAGAATAATTTATTACAAATGTGTATGTTCTATAAATACATTTTCAAGCTTGACAGAAGTTGTACTTTGTATTAAGGATGTTCTCACGTTGTCTTTTTCCCTTGCACACATAGAGGACAGTCTGTAGCCACAAAAGGGAGTAAATAATGCACACATAAAATGTGCTACATTAAGACTATTGTATTTATGTAATAAATAATATATATTTTAGCTATCACAACACCACTATTGTCTTATTAGCTTTTTAACCATTCAAATAAAGATTGTTACATTGTGTGAGAGAACTAAAAATCTCTACTTATGTTGCTAATAATGTTTGGATTTACTTCACACCTTCTCAAGTTGATCCACGTCCTGTTTTTATTTTATTATGGAGCCAGCAAGAAGCAGTTACTGCTCATGTGTCTTTGGTGCCTTTCTGGTTAAAAGCATTCTGTATATACCGTTTTTGCATGTAAGACATTTTGTGTTTTTTTCAAGACTTAATAAATATAAAACACATTTCCAAACTAGCAGTGGTTATGTCATTTCTGGACAAATAAACTTTTGAAACGAACATGGTGTCTGTTGGTCCTGTGCAATTTCTTTGTGAACTTGGTGAATTTAAGATTAGATGTTAGACTTCAAACTGTATTGACACCCATTTAAAGAGTTTTGTCCCCAAGAACAACTCAGTTAATACATCTTCTGCTTCCCAGGACAGTTTAATCAATACTTGTGAACAATGTATCACTTTTAACCGAAGCTAGAAACTGAGATTAAAATGTGTCTCCATATACTACAAAATGAGGCAGTGGGTGGATGGAAGGTTGGAGGTTTTTCAGGACCTGAAATTCAAACTAATTAGGTGTGAATTTCATATTTGAAATCTTTTTCAGATATTTTTTGTCTCTAGTTTCATTACACAGTCATGCAAGCATGTAAATGCTTACTGAGCTGTTTTGGATATAGTTGTCAACAGGAAACCATAATATTTGATATCTTATCACAAGACAATCCATCCACACCCACCCATTCTTTTAGCGCTATACATTTTCCATTCTGCTGTCTTTCCTTATATGATTTTGACGGTGTGTAGCACAAATCCATATCCCAAACGATATATATATATAAATATAAATCCACCTTTAGTTAATATAAAAAGAACAGAATTATTTCAGGGTCACATAATTCCTTGGTGCCTGTGACCATCAACTGATCAGAGTACATGCAGTTCATTCTCAGTAGGTGGCACTGTTGCATCATTTCTTAGTGAAGTGGCATAAATCTGCTCTCTACTCTCTCTGCATAATCTTGTTTTCAATATAGGCCATGCATTTGCATACCTGATTAAATTGCACTGGCTTCAAAACCATACTGTTTATAATGACTAATTAAATACCCCCAAATTAGCATGCGCCCCACTTTCATATTCACCTTATTCACAACAGCAGACAAGTGAAGAGAAAGACAGTGGAAGTGAACTTGGTCAAATGCAAGGTCTAAACTAAGTTCGTCTGTCATATTTCTAATGGAAATTAAAAATCACTGTCGAGAATGATGCTCAGCTAAGGGGGGTATGCAACAGTGGCGTGCTGTGGCATTGAGTGACTGGCCAGATGACCGAGGAATCAGCTCATCATTTGTATGCAAAGCCTTAAGTCTCAAGACGCATTAAAGGTCAGCTTTTCAATAAGACTACTGGACCCAGCCAACATCCTTTGCCTGCCTACAGCTGGGAGAAATGACTGCATCCTGGCGTCTTAGCTCAGCCTCGTGGGAGGGAAAAAAAAAAGGGGAAATCCAAACTGAGTAACAGTAGAGAATACGCAGCAGGTTCATAGTCTAAATTAAGCATGTTGCATTCCTGGCCACACTCCAATCACCTCTTGTAACATTATGAATGGGATGTAGAAAAAAAAGCAACATGCTTGGAAGTTTGGACACATGCACACGGAGAGCTACAACAGCAGTTTGAGAATCATTAAAGATTTACCCTTTTAAAACAGACAACAGAGATGGGGTAATTTCACCTCAGCTGTCACAGTTTACTTGTTAACATCTGTTTTCTCTCACCTAACGACACGGATTAGACTGGAGCTGCTCTAGTGGTGTGGAACATACATCCTGCAGAAAGGTTTGGGAAGATGCATTGGCAAGAAGATATAGGTACCACAGTTGTAGAAGATAGCATTTACAAGATAACATCGCTCGTACCTTTTCTACAGCTCTTACATGGGATTAAGATGTTTAATGGTGATGATGTTTTTATATGGTCAGAATGTCACTCTATATAACCTTAACATTTAGAGTGGGATGAAATAAGCCACTTTTCCTTTTAGTCAAAAGAGTTCAAATGAGTGCGCTCAAAATAAAAAAATTTTCTGTAACCTTCTATAAAGGGTTACATCACGTATCATTGCAGAGTCAGAGGTTGAGCATGAAATGACTCTTCAGTGAGAGCATGTGGTCAAGGTTGTAGGTTGTTAACTGTGCCATTAACATGTGTCTCCAGCACCAACCTGGATGTTGGACCTCAGAGGTTGTTGATGTGCCACAGTTTCAGGAAATGTCTTTGTTAAACCTAATAGAGCTCACCTTTCACTTCACTGACCTTATGTCAAGGCTCCTCAAGTTGTCACTATAGCTGATATATAAATGAACAACAACATGATGATCATTAGCAGTTCTTTTAGGTCAGTTGAATATTATGTAACATTGACATGAAAACTGCAGTAAGTGATGTATCATACCCGTTTTATTATCGTGGCTGCTGCTGTTACAAAATAAGCAATTATTTCTCTGCCTGCTGCACCACAGGTGATTAAAGATTTAAGAACTTGATCTTCCAGCAGTTGCTGGAGGAGAAAAAGACAGAGATGGAGGGAAACCTTTAAGCTTTTCAGCAGCTCTGTGTGGTCTAATAGCATATGATTTCATAGTGCTAAACAATTCAAAAAGACAATTCACAAGATTAGTAGGACAATCACTGAATAATTAATATTCCAGGTTCAGAGTTTGTGTAGCACCTACTAAACTGCTGTGTGAATTCATAAATAAACAACTAACTTTTGCAACTGCAAGTCTTTTCATGCAACTTTATTGTAGATTTATAAATAAAAGTCCCTCAGATTAATCACTGCCTCATGTTCATTCCTGCGGCACAGCTTGAGGCCAATTTTCTGTCTGTTTACTACTTCTGTCTTCTCACAGTCTTTCTGCTGAAACTTGTTCCATCCACATCGGTGGTATTCTGTTTTATGTGAATCCAAAGAGGCTGTAATAAGCTTTACCAATCAAAAGTATTTTAATACCACCATCAAGCCTGTATTCAACTGGCGCCAGGAGTAATGCAACACTGCCACAGACTCAGTTGTCAACTTCATCAGTCAGACATAATTCATTAACATTGGAGAAAATCCTATATAACCAGTAAATAATGATCAGTGTAATATTGAATCATCTAATTATCTAACTGAGACAACACAAACTGATTCAGATTTTCATTATATTCAAATTTAACAAATCCCAGTAGAGGCGATTAGCTCTCTTTTTAAGCATTCAGTGTGCTGCAAGCCTTTACAGCGACAATCTCCTTCTTGGTTGATATTTGGCTTTATATGCAGGACAGGCAGATGTAAAACTGCCTTAATTTAACTTTTCTCCTTTATAAAACAGAAAATTTGAAGAAAACAAATGGAAATGCATGTGTGTGTTTTCTGATTTTCTTTGGAAAATGGATTTTGTCAAAGGGCCCAAAATTCTGTTTAGGATTAGGCAGGAGCACCATAAAAAAATAAAAGAAAACAACAACACAGGTTTTAGGCATACATTTAAAAGTGTTTATTTTTATTTACAAGTTAAAATCATGACGATCAAGAATAGAGGTGGTCGGGGTAGGGTTGTGGTTAACGTGACTAAGGTTAGGGCAAGAACCCGGGAACCTTCTTTCTCTGCCTGTAACACTAAGTGAAAACAAACATGTTTGTGGCTTTCTCTGCAGAAAAACAGACAAAATCATAAAACTAGACAAAGGATTACTTTTCTTTTATTTACAATGACAAAAATATTCTAGTTATTCTTCATAACTGCTTAAAAAGCTGTTGTAGATTACATTGTTCACTTGATGGAATATTGTACTGCTCTTCTTGGGAATCTCTCTAAGGCTTTTGATACTTATATACTCACACTTATTTACATTTTGTTTTATAACTTCCATGTGTATTGATTATTCTGGTCGAACCAACTTATTTATAGTACATTTAGAACCCCTAAAATGTTGATTGTGATTGTGATTGATTGTGAAGTGTACCACAATGCTTTCATTTATTAGATACAGTGCCATTTGTATGCAATAATCACAAACCAGGCCTTCTCCATCTTACAGTTGACCTTACCATGACTTGCAATGTCATTCAGATTATCTCTCTTATACAGAAAAGAAGAAAAATCAATATAAAACCCAAATATTAACTATGGAGAATCATAGTGATGCTGCTGCCACTATATCTCATGTGTCATTTTAGTCAGTCAAATACAGTCATATTTTATTTATATAGCTCAAAATTACAAATCACAATTTACCTCAGAGGGCTTTACAATTTGTACAGCATTCAAAGCCTCTGTCCTTTTTATTTCAATAAGTCTAAAATATTCAAAAGCCTAACTTTGTCCATGCTCTGGCTTAGAGGACAGCTTTACAGCCAGGTGATCTTCACTAAGATTTGGATGGTACCAGCACACCAATGTTTTCATTTCAAGGCTTTGCTATTCAAGTTGCAATAATATTTAATGTTCTCTGTTAAATTCAAAACTAGAAACTGAAGCACCAGATCACAGCATAGGTTTGCGTAAAAAAAGTGATTTGCCTCGTGTGGATTTCTGAATAAATAAATCTTAACAAATGTTGAGACTTTTCATAAAAGGGTTGAGGTTATGCACTTTAGCGGTTATGCACTTCATTTTATTCTGAGGACATTTCATTTAAACTGAAACAGAAACAATGAATTTCAAACAAGTAAATAAAAGTTTCGTTTTTCGAAATTCATGTTCATGCAAAACTGATTTACATGTATCACTGCATTACAAATTCACATCACAATTTAAATTAATCTGTTTGGTGGAAAACAAATTTCGCCCATTCGAGAGCCCCCTTCAAACAGAATAAACAAATAGACTTATGTTTTGGGAAGAGATCTCTGAATGCAGTATGAACTGAAGGAATTATAACAGAAAGCAAGACATTTCAATGTAGATTTTTGGGATCTGACTATAATTTTAAGACACACTTGAAACATTGTGAACCTATATCCTTTAAATGGGGTCCTGTGACCGCATGGTAGTCTATTTAAAAAATGGTAGATAGATAGATAGATAGATAGATAGATAGATAAAGATAGAGTAGATGATAGATTGATAGGATAGACGGGGATAATTAGATAGATAGATATACTTTTATTGATCCCCAAGCTGGGAACACAGGCACAGCACAAATTTACAGCACAGTGAACAACAGTAGCAATACAATACA